AGTGAGGAAGGTCTAAAAATTTTTTTGCTTGAAGAAAGACAAAGATCATCTCTTGTAACTAACCTAATATCCAAACTCACCACTCCGTCAATCAAAAAATATCTTCATCAAGATATTAGATCAATACAAAAAAGAGAATCAATATAGTTTTGTCTACTCTGCAACCCAGACAAATTCAATCAAGACAATTGGCTCCTCAGCATAGTCCACACAGCAAAAAACTTCAAGATTCAACTGTATCCTCCAGCCTGCATATTTCATGATGACAATGCTATAAATTCTATTGGTTTCTTATTCAGATTACTTAAAAGCAATTTCAAAATTACTGCAGTCCATACAACAAATGCATTCAATATTTAATTTATCAACCAACTGCTTAGATTTAATAGTCCTATCAAACTTACATGGTTTCAAATTATTTCGTACACAGGAATTACAAGATGTGGTCCAGAACCTCACTGGTTTAAAAACTTTGTCAACACTTCCTTCTTAAAGAGTATGCATAGACCTATTCCCAATCCAAGACCAATGTTCTGGCTGGTCAACCCAAGTCGTGTCATCATTAAAACCCACAAGAGAACCACAGAATTTATAGAAAACTTATCTTTGAAAAAAAAACACTATCTAATATATCAATCCAACAATCTTATCAGGTGCCAAGGGTGTCCCTTGGGTACGAGTTATAATAATTCTTGTCTCATCATTTTCACAATCACATCTGCATCATTTTTATAAATATCTATTCAAAACTCTCCTCAACCAAAATTTCGTCTTAATAATTTAATTGAGGAAACTCTCAATACCCTTCAAGCACAAAAAAAAATCGTAAAAGACATCTGTTTTTCACCAAATTCTTTCTTCCCTTCTCAACTTTCTAAGATTAGCCACTTTCTCATTTTTACTGTTCAAGCCTTCAAAGATAATGTTATCATCAATAAAACCAAAATTACTTTTTCTACTTCAGGCACAGCTATAGCTAACATTCTTCTAGTAACCCATAATATTATTCGATGGTGCCCAGTCTCATCAATAAACGAAATCAGAAACAATTAAGACATTCTGTGACAAGTTTTCAATGGCCCAAGAAAAATGGTCAAAACCAATCACACATCTATAATTTCAAGAATTATCAGTTTGAATACTTAAAGATCAATTCGACTTCAATCAGCCAAACCCAAGTTCAGACCAGTCATAAATAAAACTTTACAATGAAATACTCTCCCACTATACTTTATTGAGAACCCCAAAATAAATAACACCAATCTGGGCAGTAGTATTATTTGATTCAAAAAAATTCTGAGAATCACAAAGACCTATATAATCTGTGAAAGCTCGTCTGTAATCAAAACCTTCCAAGAAGCCTTAAATCTATATGGCCTGGAATTCCTTACCAAATTCACCAAGCAAATCAGAAGTACATGAAACAACTCCTACAGTAATCTCATATCATTCAGAATTAAACTTCTATCAGGAATACTTCCAACGTGAACCTACCTTAACCAATTATATCCAAAACAGTATCCAGACCACTTCTGCCCAAGGTGTAAGCTTAGAATCGAAGACATGTTTTTGAATGCATTGAAGCAGAGAACCATACAGCTCGAGTTATCAACAGTATAAACAGTATTCTACATCTAGACCAAGGTAACAAACCTATAAATTACATTTAACAAGTAGTCAAGCTTTTGTGTGGCCTTATCAATAATATACATTTCACAGAAGATACTATTACCTGGACCAAAGCAATTTCTGAAAGCCTTATGCTACTTTATAATTTAATTTGAAAACCAAGGTATAATATAGCAAACACATCTCCCACTATTAGAATTAAATGGGACTTGAACCTTTACTAATTAAAGATTAATAATAACAATAATAACAACAATACCAATCTAAAAAATTCAAACCAGGAAGCATTAAACTCCAGATTTAATTCAAATTCTGATAGTGAGCTAATGATGGATCTTCTATCCTTAGTTATAAACGAATTCATTAACAGCAATTACAACTCTACTTTATGCTATAAAAATTTAATAACTAACTTTAACAATCTTATTAATAACCTTGGGTAGGTATTTATAGCTGCTCAGCACTATTTAAAATATATAATGGTTTTAATATTTATTTTCCTTACCACTAAAATAGTTTATATAGGCAAGCTAGCATTAGACTTATTAACTAGTTAGTTATATAAGAGATGTTATTGCTTTTTCTATGTATAAATTTCAAACAATTTTATGATTAATAAAGTGATAATGTTTATCTAAAAAAAAAATAAATAAATAAAAAATATATTAAAATTTAAAAATTTTAATAATATATAATTAATAATTAATTCTTTTATCATTAATTTTAATTATTAATTTATATTCTTTTCTTATTAAACCTATAAAATTAATTATAATCCTATTTGAAATTTTTTCATATTTTTTTATTATAAATTGTTTTTAGAATACCAATCTATAATTTTGGAAAAAATTTTATTTAAGAATTTTTTAATAAATTTATTAACATATTTAAAATTATTATTATGTTGAAAGCATCAATTGATTTTCAATTTCTTATTTATGTTTTTATAAAATATTAATATAAAATTTGTATTATAAGTTTTTTTATAAATAGTAATAAGTATAGATGTATTCAAAAATAAATTATTTTTATAAATTATTTTTGTTAGATATCTTAAAATAATTAATATAATATTTGGATATTAATATTTGATAATTTGATAATTTAATTGTTAAAATTTTTGTAAAGAATCTTGAATTATAATATAAATATTAGTCAATTGCTTTTAATATATGAGAAGTAATTTTTTTAGAATGATTTTTATTTGGTTTTTTTGAATTATCACTTTTAAAGTTTAATTTTTTAAAATTATAATATATTGTTGACATATTTATTCAATTTTAAAGTATATTTTATTGCAAAAATAATTTTTTTATTTTACAAATATAATATAATTTGTTATTGTATATATATTTTTTGAAAGATAGCATTATAAGAATTTATTTATAAGGAAAAAAATAATAAATTGAAGTTTTAAAAGTATGTATATATATATTAGAATATGTTGTTTATATATATTTAAAATTTTATATAAATTATTTTTGTTTTGAAAAAGTTATTTATATTTATGTTATATAAATAAAATTTCAAAAAGTTTTGCAATATACTGAATTAAATTTTTCTAGATTATAGATTGAAAATAACTTTCTAAATTAATTATAGGTTTTGTAAAATATATTTCTTATAATAGAAATAGTAAACTTGAATATTAAATTTTAACAAAGTAAATTTTGTTTCTTTTTAAATAGTATAATATTAAAAATAGTATTAGAGCATTTAAAAGTTATTTTATAAGCTGATTTGATAAATTTATTAATTTTGATTGTAAACAATAAAATATAAATTTGTTAAAATATAATATATTAAGAAAATATTCAAACTTTTCAATCACAGATTTGTTATTTAATTTTATTTCTTTAATTTTGCTTGAACAATTTCTAAAAATTGTATTTATAGTAATACCATTACTAATAATAATTTATGATTTAATTATAGACAATATAGTGTATGCTAAATATACTGTATCTAATAATAGTTAACAAATAATTTTATAAAAATAACAACTGATTGCTGTATATTTTAATTATAATTGTAAGATCTGATTTCATTGTAAGGAATGTAAATCACAGGAATCAAAAAATCAACGATTTGTATTTTTCAAATTTAATAATACACACACATCTACATATTATATTATATTATATTATATTATCGATGAGTTATTAATATAAGGAATTGATAAAAAATTTTTTATCAATATATGATCCATACACACCGTGTACAAAAAATTAATCGACACTAAATTATAAAATAACTTGTTTATGTACGGATCAATATACAGTATAATAAAAATTTTTTAAAAATTGTTACAATATAAATTCTTTGATTTGAATTTTTTAAAATTTCTAAAAATAAATCGTTTGATGAAAGACATTTGTTGCGATTATTTACTTTATTAAGTTTTTTGTATGAAATAAATTTTCCATTTGATATATTGTTTACTAATTTCGACAAGATGCACAGGATATACCGTAAATTTTTTGAGTTGACCATTTGCCCCATCTATTGAGTTCGTGGATTCTTTTGAATGTGTACTATTATAGCATATCTCAAGACAATGAATTTTCTAAGATTTCACTCTATCGAACTTTCTTTTATCACAACAGTACGATGGTACATACAAAAAGAAGCTCGAAAAGTACGCAATTTCAACTTAAATATTTTTTTAGCGGACCTTTTTTAGTTGGTTTTTGTATTTATAGCATAATCATTATCTTGATCAAAATTGAATATGTATTTAGTGTCCAAAAAAAAACAAAAACGAATTAATGTCTTGGCAAAATTAAACAAACATAAAGAAGCAATTTATTGTCTTGGCGAAATTAAACAAACATAAGGAAGCAATTTATTGTGTCTTGGCAAAATTAAAATAAACTCATCAGACAAAGAATGTTTACTTATTTTGCAAGCTCCCGTTATTTTTTTACGCAATTGTCGAATTCACGTGCTCGATAATGAGATATAACGGCGATGGATTGTAAAAAGTCCCCACGCAGTTACCGGCATAAAAGCAAAGCGCCTATTTGGTGGTATATTTCCGTGTAACTCCCTTATGTTCAATGACTCTGTACAATGCTGATTACGAAAAGATTGTGTTCTCGCGGTGTTCAAGATAAGTAAATAGATATACAGTATATACAGTTTGTATTTGAAAAACGTAATAAAGACGTAAATGTCAACCACACCTAGGTAACTTTACGCCCGACAAAGCAGATAATTAACCAATGAGGGTGCGAGTTTAGAAACTTTATTATTGTAATAAAAACGTTTTAGCCTTTGTAACATTAATTTTAAGGTGAGATGATATGAATTAATCGATTAGGTTAATTTTTTTTTTTTTTTTTTTTTTTTTTTTTTTTTTTTTTTGATGGATGTTATTCTCGCCCCTTGCATCACCGAACTTCGTTTCTGACTTCCACGTTGAATCGGATTTGAAAACACGAGGAAGTCCGGGCGGAGTCAAAAGCATTCATTGAAGTAATCTTGGTTAGAGACTTTAATGAGTATATAAATGGATAGTGTCGTCATTGACAAAAATAGAAACAACCACATATGGAGTGTACATTGTCTGGACAATCATAGGTTGGACTCCGTATAAATTTTAAATTCGAATACTGTAGAAAGATTGGTTGAATCAACGAACGTATTAGCGAAATAGCTTACCACGAGCAATACTTCTGTTTTTTAAGTTCAAAAACAGTTATCATTAGGAACCAGAAATTTGCGCATGAAGCAGGTATTGGTGTATTGGTAGAAAGTTTTTATAAGGTTGTTAACAGAAAGGAATAGTGTATTCTATGAAAATGAAGTATCCGGATCGAATCCCAATATTCCGTATGCAAGATACGACAGCAAAAAGAAAATAATCTAAGCGAAATTTCTTGTCATTTAAATTTATCGATATGATCTTCATACGTTGATAGAACCATAGAACCAATACGTCATTAAGCCGTTCATTGTAAACATAAATTGGGATTTCCAAGTTTAGGTAAGATAAAAAAAGAACATTCCTTAAAGCAGCTAGCGACAAAAAAGTCCGACGGTGTCATGAAATTTAAATACGTGCATGTTTCACGTTTTGTACCCACACGACTGGTCCCTGACTGACTCTTTAATAAAAAAAAAAAAAACCCCCAATAAAATGAAAAGCGAACTTTAGGCTCACTACTACACATGAAATTTCAATAATTTCATCCATTTATTATTGTATGCAACAATCGTGATAAAAAAAGAAAATCATTCTGCGATAGTATTTGATGGCCTATTAAGATATCCGAAAATTATATATAAACGGATAGAATTCACCTCACCCTATTTTCTGCCCAGTTGCTCATAGTTTAAGCAGACAAGTTCTCATATTTGAGTTATTTTTTCTACAATACAGTATTAAGAAATAATTCGAGAACCATAAGGTTAACCTTGTTATTTACGAAAGCGATGTTCCTCACAAACCTCTCAAATTACTTTTCCGTAAAGTCATATCAAAGTGACATGGACACATCTTCCTGCCTGCAACCTTGGGATAGAACTCTATTACGTATGTTTATCTACTCTCTTTTATTTCGAATTAGTTGTGCATTATCGGTTTCTTTGTACTCAACTTCCTCCTTCCCTCTCAACCCTTATAAATACTGCAGATTCATTGATCCTTGTAAGCATAACGTTATTCCTGTACACGTTATTTTGGTCCGGTTTCTCGGATTCTGAAGGCGCCAATCATCCAGAAAGTGTGCTTCACTTTCCTCTAAAAGTCGGTGACTACCACTCGATCTATCTATGATACGAAAGATTACACATATACATAATTTGGTTCGTAATAATTCATGACGATTGTAATGATAATAGAAACTGTATAGACAATTTTCTTGGTGGGTAATATAGGTCACGGGACTATCAGGAACGGACACTTATACAACGCCTTTTCTTTTCTTTTCTTTTTTGTATCATATCACACAATTATTACTCTAATTAGATTTATGTTACTTTTCATGCCAATAACACATTTGTCATTTCTTTTTGATGACAATTAATTTTATCTATGCAACCATCAAGATTCAAATGTAGTATTCTTATTTTCTGCGAGAACAATTCTTTTTTAATAAAGAAGTTTGATAATATGCGATTGAAACTACTCTTCTAAAGATATTACTGCAATACCTATAATATACATAAATTACATGTTACTGCATACGATATACGGTTGGACTTTTCAAATTTCTTAATCGCCCGTTCAATTTTTCGTCATTCTGCAAAGAGAAGCGAAATCCCTAATTGGAAATTTCTGACTTATACAGTATGATTATTCCCAGAATAGTATAAAGCATAACGGTAATGTATCTAAAATAAAATGAATGAATGGATAAAAAAAAATTTTCAATTCATGAGACTACACATCTGCTCATTGTTATTTTTGATTGTGAAAACTACGAAATGACGCTTTATTATTGTAATTTTCGAGCTTTGAAATAATCGTAACACAAACTTATTATTCCGAATCCACTTTATCTTGTGCCGTTCACATATTACTGTAGATCCACCGTTTTTTTTTTTAAAAAAATGTTAATCTGGTATCACGTCGTATGGCGTTCTTCTAAAACCGATTTACGTTAGACCTTTCTTATGATTTTTTTTTTCTTTCTTTTTTTTTTAGATCTTTTTTTTTCCTTATATTTTTTTTGTTTTTTTTTAGATCTTTTTTTTTTTTCCTTTTTTTTTTTTACACGCTAATCCAAACATACTTCGAAAGTGCTAATATCATTTTGGTAATTTCGGGAACACATTACCATTTAAATCATTCCTTCGGTATAGGGAGTTCATGGCTGTGCAATAACTATAGGATTTTCTCCTTACATGCAGAAACCATATGTTGAATAATTCGTGGACGCCAAGAATCATCTGAAAAATATGGCCCGAGGATGTCCCCGCTCAGGCCTGATCAAGCTTGAAGGTGTAACGAATTCCGTATACAGTATTGTATTTACAGTTATTGATATTCACGGTAGATCAAGGTTTTCTTCATTAAATAGGATTAATTACTATAATTGAACATTTCAGTATTTATGAAACAACAAAAACGCATACAATTCAAAAGAATCGAGATCTTAAATTCACCGGCGCATTTGCCACTCAAAATACATCATTACTTCATTATGACAATTATTCTCCTATTGTGTATTTGCATTGTATGGTAGTACACTGATTTTCGAGATAAAATTCTTTCTCCCTATTACTACTGTATTTATTATTATTTTATTGCCAGATAATTGATTATGAGATTGTTTATCATTGAAAAACGGAAACCATTGAGTTCGGAGCAGTGTATATTTGAATTTACAGTTTGGGACAAAACTTCTTGCTCCTCATGATTTTTTTCAGATGGAAATGCATATCTTGGAACCAAGAATAGGAAATGTTGGGTAAAGAAAAGGTATCGGAGTGTCTTTAAAAATCATTTTCAAGAATTTTCAAGCAATTGATCAATACTCGAGGAATAATTTTCTACCCCTTTCCAAAAATAGCAATAAGGTTGGTTGAATGAATATCTATACCACATGTTCCATAAATTTATTTCGAATGATTTTTTTTTTAATATCTTGATTAATTGTAAATTAAAATATAAAAAAATTTTTTTTATTAAAAAGATATATTATTTTTATTATTAATCAATTTTTAAGTTTATTGTATTTGAATTTATGAAGTTTTAGAATTTGATATTTGATATTTGATATAAAAAAAAAAAGTTTTGATATTTCAAAAATTCAAAATTTACAAATTATAAATTATTAAAAAAAAATTTTTTTGAAAAAAAAAAATCTCTATATTAAATTAAAAAATTTTAAAAAACATTTTTATATAAAATAAATAATATTACAATTTTTAGATTTTAAACTTTATTTTAATATATTATTTATTAATTTTTATACAATAGTTTTTAAATAACAAATAAATAAAAAATCCCAAACAGCTTTGTTACATACAGTATATCTATTTTTAAATCAAATGAAAAATTTTTATTTTTAAAATAATGATTGATTTTATTATATTAAAATACTTCAAAAATATTTAATAATTCTATTATAATATAATTTTTGAAAAATGTTCAAATTCAATTTTATCACATGTATAAATAATAATAAATTTTAAATATTATTTTTTTAATAAATATTTTTTAATTATAATTGTCTTTATATAATTATAATTATAATATTCTTGTGATTTATAATCTTCAAAAACTTATTATACTATATATGCTTTCTTTTTTTTTTTAAAGTGTTAAGTAAGACATTTCTCATAATCTTTATTAATTAAATAAAATGTTACATAATTAATTTTTAGATTGTAAGATACATTACTATACATGTTAGCCTATCATCAAATAAATATATTTTAAAAAAAAACTTTTTTGAGAAAGGAAAATAAAAGGAACTATTTATGTTTGGAGAGCCAATGCCTCCTTAATAATTTATTCTATTATAAAAAAACTAATAAATTTTTAGAGAAAGATTAAATAATAATGTTAGTGTAGTTATTTGATTGTAGATTGAAAGGTTTGTTTGCCGTTAGAGTTTTTCTTTTTGTTTTCTTATTTTTTGTGTATGGTTGTTTATTTTTCCCGTATTTGTTTGCTTGAGTAATATTATATATTTCTTTTTCTTTATTTATACTTTTGTTTCTAGGGATCCATATTTCTTAATAAATTAAGTTGAAAAGGTCATTTTGCAGTTTGTTCAGAATTTTTAAATCTTTTGAAGTTGGTTTGAAATTTGTGAAAAAGGAATTAGTGTTTGTGAGACCACGAGCTAGATCTATATAGGTAAGTGGTGAGTTAGTAAGTTGTTGAAAATTTTTTGAATTGAAGTTTTTGTTGTTTTTGAAAGAGAGGATTGCTTGTGCTTTGGTGTTTTTAATTATTTGAATTATAGCTGAATTGCTCTCTTTACAGAGCCAAATATGATGAGTGGTTTCTGGAGCAATGTTACAATAGGGACAAAGATTGTTAGTATAAAGGTAGAGTAAGGTAAAATGTAAGTGAGATTTAGTTGATAATGTATTAGAAAGAATTTTAAGACAGAAATTATATAAAATGGATTGGATTAGGTAGTTGGTAGATGATTTTTTTTGAAAAAAGTATGTGTATATTGTAGAAGAGAGAAGTTGGGTTTAAAAGTAGTTTTTGCTCTTTCAAAGTAGATTATATTGGTTAGTCTAATTGTTTTATTTATTTTTTTGATAAGATCTCGTATTGGAGGAAGTAGATTATTTTGAGTGTTAAGTAATGTATAATATAGAGAAAATGGATTAGTTATATTGAGTTGAGGGATAACCATATTGTGAGGTTGGAGTTTTTTCATTGCTGAGGTGGGTTTATAGAAAGAACAAGATATTTGTAGTATTTGGATAATGTTATGAATGTTGCTAATGATAGTGGCATATGGTAATTTGCATTTTTTCCAGTGAATGAAAAGTAATGAAAGAAAGAGTTTATTAGATATTTTTGTGTGTTTGCAAAAGATTGTTATTTGTTTTGTTTTGTTGGTAAGGAAAATAAATATTAAAAAAAAATAGAAAGATGGAAAAAGAAGGAGAAAAAAGTTAGTTGTGTAGGATTCATTGAGTTGAAAAAAATTCCATATAATTGTTATTGAATTGGAAGAGTATTTAGATATTAAAAGAATTTCAGAATTTGGGTTCAGAGGGAATTAAATTTTTTTAAGAATTTCTTGTGATAATAAGGTTAAGTGTTTTTGAATAAGAGATTCTTGGATATCAAGTGAAATGTAAATTAGTGA